GTCCACATTTAGGTCCAGGTAATAAAATGCCGCCGATTATGAACCCCCGGTATATCGCAGGCTAGCAGTAGATGGGAGCACAGAGAGTAGCTGGCGGGTGTTCATAATCAGAACGGAGTTACAAGGCGGAATGGAAGGCAAGCGTCATAGCGGTGAGGCGCAAATTAAAATACATATGAATTAAAATTACGGCAAGTATAAAATACTGTTTAAATGTACCAGGATAACTAATTTAGGCTGTGCATTGGTTGAAACATGATGGTGACTTGCGATATTTTATCGCGGTGCGAAATGTATGAGACGCCATTTTGTAACGGTACTTTTGCCAACGCGCACAGCGGCTACATACATTACTTACATGCAAATAACACTAATAACGTGGCAATTAAATAGCTAAAAGCAAACAGCCTGGCGTGATCAAATTACACTACCTATAAAACACTTTCACTACTTAAAACTAGGTAACGTTTCAACACTTACCCTTACGGGGTGCAAGACGATACGGAGGTCTCGGTGACGAGAATTAACGAAAAAACTATACGGCCACAGTGCCGGAATTATTATATTATTTTAAACTTTTTCCAAAATGGGATTAAAATTTGCAAGCGCGTACGAGGACACAAAGCAGAGCTTGTGAACGCGGCTGCAGTGGTAGTGTGCGCCTCCCAGGGCGCTCGGGCGGAGAATGACCGGGAGCGCGACGCCGTGGAATGATACCGGCCGGGTAAAACTCTGACGCGAGAGTTGCAAAGCGCATAGAGTAACGAAGCGTCAGAGTGTTTGTTCGAAATACAATATTTTAATATTTGATTTATTATTTAATTCGTTCTTTTAGTTTACTGATTTGTTTTATTAATAGGATACCTAAGTTAATTATAGAATTATTTTTGTTAATAACTTTTATTTTATTTTTATTTAGTTTATTAAATGTTTATTTAATTTTAATAAACCGTTTAATTATAATTATGCATACATGTACGTGCAACGTTACACGTGAAGAAATGCATGTGCACCCACCTGGACTTCCGCTGATCTGCCTCGTGTCTCGATGGCTGCCGGTTTTCTTCACACTTATCAACTTCACAGATAATCTTCGCAGATAATCACGAAATATAGCGTTATTGCAAATGTCTATACTTTTTACTATATGCTTGTATAATTCAATATCCAAATTACACAAGGGCGGGAGCGATGACGCGAGATATAAGCGATGCGGTTGGTTGCGTGTCTTCTCAACTTGTGTGAGCCCGTTAACACGAATGCACATGCTGGGCATAAAAGGCGGTAGATAGGAAACCGGAAATGGGCTTTGCAGTAATCTTATTGGATAATAATTAACGAATCCCTTATAAGCGTTAAGCGATAGTGCAAAGTGGCGCGAACAGAGCCAATGGATTCATATTTTTAGCAATATTTAAAAAAGACTGGTCTTTAGAAAATTTAAGAGCTCTCTGGGTTTTTTTCCTGAAGTCTGTCGTCTTGACTTCTTGTATTCTTTGTATAACCTTCTACAATTTGGAGTAAGATATGATATTTTCTGCAGTAACCGGCTGCTACCTGTCTTCTTTGGGGTAGAGAACAATGGTTGGCCTATTGGACCTGTAAAAATACCAATTGCATTATATTAGTCAGAAATTAGAAATTATTCAGTAAGTGTAAAGGTAAGAATAATATATCATTTATATATACACTAGATCTGTCTCTATAAAATGTTATTGACTGTAAGACACCAAATATTCACTCAAATAAATAAATCTCTACATTCTCTCAAAACTTGTTGAGTATCAACCTCCATCATTTCAACGGTTTCAGAAGTAGATGGGATCATGGGCATCTCAATACCTTTAAACAAAAATAACATATTGATGTAGCACATTATATTAGTGGGTAATGTAAGGAACTTATTGCAATAAAACATTTTGTAGGTTTATGTCATTTTGGAAATGGTATTGTACTAGTAGTACTAATAATATGTACAACCTGTCGGAAATATCTGCGAACCTGGCTTGATGACGTCATGCAATATTGAGAGATAGCAAAAAAATCGAGATGCAAATATGAAATATATTTTTGTGCGCCGATTTATTTTTATACTTCTATATAAAGCCTTAAAATAAATTTAAAATAAAAAATACATTCTTATTAAAAATAAAACTATCTGTATATATCACTGTAACGCTTTTATACTGGAAAAAGTAAATGCAAGAAACCATATTAAGTATAAAAGTTTGTTGTTAGAAATACTTTTTTAGTAGTTTCTATTCTACGGTAAGTATAATAAATTAAAATCAAATAATTTTCAAGCCATTTAATTAGCAGGTATTTAACATTAAAATTCTAATTTAAAACAATTAAGTACTGTGATTTTTAGTAGTCTATTGTAATAATAGTAATATTTCACCAAACAGAGAAACAATAAACAATAATGCGATTACGAAAACGAGATTAATACACGTGCGTCGGCGCTTGCGTTGGCAACGGTACTGGATAGACGATAACGGGTGGAGGTGCGGGGAAGCGCGAGGGGAAGCGCATTCCAGCGAGGTTCGCAGATATTTCCGACGTGTTGTAAATAACTTTTACCTTCTAATATGTTTAGGTTACTCTGGAAGCTGCTGCCCATTGATTGAGAATATGTGTGGTCCATATGTTTTTTCTTTTGGATATAACAGTGGTCAATGAAAGGATCAACATATTCTGAAGAAATAAAATAAATCTTTTTACATTTCCACAAGGGTAGGCAGGGCTCCTACTGCACCCACCTTCTCTCTCCTACCCTGTACGCAAGTACCGGATGTCTATAATTTTACCCATGCCGGGGCATTACAAGCTTGACTCTACAAATTTTTTGATTTTTTCATAAGTATTTGGGTAAAGTATTTAAGTACCATTATAAGTTATAGTCTATGAATTTAACTAGCTATTGTCACCAGAATTTGAAAATTTTGCATTGTAATGGTATTTAGATTAATAATGTATATGACTAGAAATGGGTCGAATATTTGTTTCATATTCGGTATTCGGCAGCTTTACTGAATATTTGTATTCGGCCTAATATTGGGCTAAATTACTGAAAATTCGTTATAGTTGTACTCCAGGTGTCCACTGTATTGAAATTGAGTTGGTAATGATGAAGATTTATTTCCATGTCTTTCATAAGTTTACTGTTGAAAGTATATTTTATTTATAGGTTAAATCTACTTGAATAGAGTTATGTTTTTGAGGCACTGTAGATTTATTTCCAATTATAGCAAATAGAATTCTTGATAAAATGTTTTTGGAATTAAATTCAAAAGCATTACATTACATTAGTACTTTTCACTTTGGTTGTCAGTTTCTCTAAAATATTTCCAAATAGTTTGTTGTGCTATTCTTAGTGAAAATTGATAATTATAAGATAAAAATGAGTGGCAGGAAGCTTCATAATATCAAAAATTAAGAATTACACAACAAAATACTTTTTTCTCACAAAAATAGTCAAAACGTAAGCACATGCCGGCAATTTGGTCAGTACTGGATGATGCAATTACATGTCAGGTGTGGCGTGGGGGAGCAAAGGGCGGGATCCGGCGCTAATCTCGTGTGGTTTATATGGTAAGAAATTTTGACATAAATTAGTTAGGTACAGAGGTCGAATATTTGGTTCGGGAGAAGTTTTACTGAACTTTCGGCCGAATATTCGTATACAGTGAAATCCATAATCGGTCCATCTCTATATATGACATACTGGTGTTCATAAATCAAATAAATTAACAAAAAAATTTTATTGTTGTTAACTGGCCTGGCAAATGTGGCACCAATTAAGGATTATACTACTCCTAAGTGGCAACTTTGACAAAATCCCCCTAAGCGACAATCTGTGAGGGAAGCCTATGTTCAGCAGTGGATTTTCATAGGATGTATATCTATAAGATTAATAAAATACTAATTTATTTCGAACCATGATCTTATACTAATGGATAGTAAAGTAATTTATAAACTATGTTAATATCATTAACTAATTATAATTAATTCATATACCTCAGCAGTGCATGTGTCGAGCGCAGCAGGAACGGCCGTCTGGTTTCTCTGCAATAACTCTCTGGATGAATGAAAATTTTAATAAAAAAATACTGACGGCTATCTTCATATGCTCTTAGTGGAACCCCAGACGTGATCTCATCTTCCGTAAACAACGTGGGGTATGCGTTCAGGTAAAGATGAGATGTTACCGAGTTAATGAATACGCAGCTCAGTGTTTATGGCACACGTGCAACTTATGAAGTTCTTGTACACTTAACCTATTTAAATTATCACTATTTATACACCTTAACCACTTATGGAGTCTTATCTCAGATATTGGAAACTTATGTAATTTAACGTCTTTGCGTCTAGTAGCACAATTTTCAATACAGCACGTTTTAAACATTATGAAAATACGAAATTATGAAAAAAATATTTTTTTTTTAATTTATTCGTGACCATGGTTGCGAGCACCTTCAGTCGAAAAAATTACAGTATAACGCAAATCATACATCAAATTAAGAATATTTAATTTTAGCAATAACAATTTAGAATGGTTTTCCATCATTTTTCTACTTTTTTCCTATTATATAAATATAGAACAGACTAAATTACAAAATGAACTAAGAAGCTATTTACAAACATAATCAATTAACTAAGGACACAAAGTTTTCCTACAGTATTAAGTATAAATTTAAATAGAGGCATGAAAAAAACTACATCAGCTGTTAATAGATCCTGAACGCGGCGGAGAACACTTATAGAATTTTTTTCAGCGACATCACTAATTTCACTGACAAGTGTCAACCTTTGAATCCCAAACAGTGGGCACTGGAAAATTATGTGGTTTATGTCTGCATTATGTTGAGCGCAATGTGTGCATTTGTCATCAGCTACGATCTTCATTCTGTACAGATGTGCAGGGACGAGGCAATGACCAAACCGCAAGCGGTTAATGATCGTTATAAACTTTCGGCCTGTGTAGGTATTTAAAGCGGTTGTACCACGGAATCGTTGGTAAGTCTGGCTGTAATTCTGCGTACCATTTTCCCTTATTCACGGTAGTAATGTTCCAGTAATCCTTCCACAGTTTCTTAGACAAGATTTTAAAGTGTTGATAATAATCTGTGAAGGGGACTTTACAATCTTGTGTTTGGTCTTCGTGGTGATCTTGCCGCGTCGCCTGATCCACTATCTCATTTCCGACTATGTCACTGTGTGGGGGAACCCATAAGAATTCTATACATATTCCAATCGTTTGCAGCTTATCCTTAATTTTATACAAAATATAATTCTGCTTATATACTAAATTACAGTTACATAAAGCAGATAAAACACTTTTAGAATCAGTAAGTATCAAGATTTTTACACTATTTACATTGGTATTTACATATGACAAAGCAGTTAATATAGCCCAACTTTCTGCTGTAAAAATACTACAATTACTTGGCAACTTTATACATTTAATAACTTTCATTTGTGGGTCATAAAATGCTGCTTTAACAAGATCACTCTTGGAGCCATCAGTATATATAGTGTAGAAGTCTTTCTTTTCATTTAAAAATTCTAAGAATTCATTCTTAGTACTAAGCGAATCTAAATGACATTTTATATCAAGATAATTAAGTAATGTATCATATGGAAATTTGTAAACAGGCCACTTGTTACTGATGTACATATCTCTTGTCTGATTTTTTACACAAGTTGTTATTGTTGTTATTTCAGGCAATGTACCCGAAATAAGAGTATTAGCCGAGATGTTGGCTGTTCCAATTAACTGGGAGACTTCTGCAGGATATAAAACATTACTCAGGACAATATCATTGCTACAAGACAACTCCTTCAAACAGAATCTTTCAGCCAACTGCAAACGCCGCAAGGACAATGGAGGTATGCAATTTTACATTAAGCAACTTCCATAGAAACAATAGGAGTGGTGCGCATGGCTCCACTGATTATTCTCAGACCCATATTCTGTATCACATCCAATTTTCTTAACAATGTGCTACTAATATTCATGTAAGCTAGAGAGCTATAGTCAAAGTGACTCCTTACAATACTTTTATACAGCATGCTAAGTGTTTTTGGATCAGACCCCCAAAAGGTTCCTGCTAAGCTTCTTAGTACATTTATGCTCTTCATGGCATTCTGACAGATATAGTTGATATGCTTATCAAATTTCAGTTTATCATCTAGCACAACTCCTAAAAATTTATGATGATTGGCTATAGGAATTGCATCATTATTATAGTTAATTTTAATTCCAGAGTTTACAAATGTGTCTTTACTGAATACTAACACTTTACTTTTCTCAGAACTTATTTCTAGTTTTAAAATGTTGCTATAATAATGATGCAATTGTGCCAATGCAGTATTAATTCTATTAATTGCTGTATTTATATTCTGGTTTTCACTGTATAAAAGTATGTCGTCTGCAAACTGTAATATTTTAACTTGTGATGTATCTACATAATTAAGTATCTGAGATGTGTATAAATTATACAACAAAGGTGAAAGTGTTGCTCCTTGCATTGTTCCTTTGTTAACAGGCCTAGGTCCATGTAGTTTATTGTTAAATTTAACAAAAAGAGTCCTATCATGCAAGAAATTTAAAATCCAGATTAATACATTTCTTGGCAAGCCCAATTCATGCAAAACTTTTATGAGGCATTCAATATTAACATTTTCAAAGGCACCTTTAACATCTAAAAATACACATATAACATTAGAATGGCTAAGTTTGGCCTTTTTAAGTTCCGATATCAGAGATACAAAGCTTTCAGAGCAACTTCTGCCTTTTGTGAATCCAAATTGTATGTGAGGTAGTTTATCCTGTCTTTCAGTAAAATAATCTAGACGCAACTTTAACATGTTTTCAAAAAGCTTACCTAAACATGATGACAAAGAAATAGGTCTGTGTGATGATGGATCATTAGCACCTTTATTTGGCTTTAAAATGGGGATTACACATTGGGTTTTCCATGACTCTGGTATAGCTAAATTATTCCAAAGTTTATTATAAATATTTAATAACATTTCTTGTGCATTAGGATGTAATTTTTTTTATTAACATATATGGTATGCTGTCCAACCCTGGTGTTGTATCTTTCCTACTTTTGAGTGCTATGTACAATTCATTTAGTGTGAATGGTCTATTGAGAAACGAGTTACTTTCATTTTCAACAGATTGATCTAAAATATCATTCAAATAATCTTCATTCAACTGTGGTGAGTCTGTTATGTTGTCTAAGAAGCTTGGTATCCAATCGTCAGCCAAATATCTGTTATGAGAAGAACCTATCCTTCTAAACCTAAAGCGGAACTAACCAGAGCTAAATCTATTGCCGACTGATTTCTGTTAGGATACTGGACAATTGTAGCTGTGTCACCATCATTCAGAATACACAAGTCAAAGTCATCAATAAGTGCATATAAACTGTTACCTCTATTATTATTTGTCTGACATCCAAACAGGATATGGTGAGCATTAAAATCTCCCATAATAAGACATGGCTTAGGAGTTTCAAGTAGCACCTTTTTCATTTTGCTAATAGTAAACCTGCTGCTATTGGGAGGACAATATACAAATAGAATATGTAACTTACCCATAGTTGTGTCTACGGAAATGCAAATATTTTGCACAGATTCGAAAAAAGTTGTATTTACAATAGTGTATTTTAAGTTTTGTTTAATTAATATACCTACTCCATTATGTTCATTTATTGAGTTTTTGTGTATAAAATTATAGGGTGAAAAATCGGGAATTGTACTAGTTGTTTTAAGCCAGGTTTCATTTAAGAGACAGATATATCTATATGTTGTTCTGAAAGAATTTTTTTAAGTAAGGCCCTTTTGTTCTGTAAGCTCTGTATGTTATATTGTGCTATATTCAAATATGTATCCATTATGGTATTAAATTACTTAAAAGTATGTCTTTAATTCTTTTATTTGTAATCGAAGCGCTGCTCTTGTCATTGCCAAGCATAACTAATGATTTGACTAGCGCATTAATAATTAACTCGTTGTTTAGTATTTACTCAGCATTATATGGTACTTTATTTATGTCAGTATCAACAGTCTTTACAGGTTTAAGGTTTGGGAATGCTCTCGGGTTGGGCATTGCTGGAATACTCACAACAGCGGCATACGATCGGTTTGGGGTACGACTTTCCATTGACGTCCGTCGAATCGAGGGGAGGTGTACTACTCCCCCTTAAAAGGAAAAGTTGCGGAGCCCCCCCCTTTTTGAGTTTTTTGAATTTTAATTCTGAGGAAATTTTATTTTTTATGGATAAATATTAAGTGTAAAAAACCATGGGGACCTCTTGGGGGGGGGAAGGGGGAACCCCTTCACCAAAAATAAATAGAGGGACTCATTCAGAGGGATTTCTGTATCTATTTTGAGACTGCAACGTCTCCGGCGCTGCGGAGCAATCGTAGCATGAGGGGTGAAGGTATCATAATTCAGTTCCTTGACATAAGTTGAACCTAACCTATTTATTTATTATCTGTCCTAATAGGTGGGCACTGTTTTATACACATGTTTTATACAATTTTATACACATATTGCTTTAATTAATTCTTAGAAATCATCAGTTTTACGTTACGTCACACCATCCGGCAAAAAAGTCGGTTATGAAACACTACACATTTTAATATTGTAATAGTATCTCATAATGAATAACTCTAATTTTGTACATTTAAATATTAAACTGTTAAATACATGTGTAGCATCGAAAACTATTTAAATGAGTACAAAATACCTTTGTAATTATTTACAAGTACAAATGTACAAGTTTAAAATGATACCGAACGTATGACAACTAACTGTACGGAAAACGAACATTCAATGGCGAGAATTCGATATAATCTGTGGTAAGGAATTGACGTAAATATTATAAAAAGAATTGATTTTCAATAATTTTTTTCTCAAAAAGTACGCGTTTCCGCATGTTGAAATTTTGCGTGTGTGTTTACAATAGTGTAACCTTTCTGTAAAAAAAATATCATATAATCTGAGATAGGGATTGACATAAATATTGCAAAAATAATTGATTTTCACAAATTTTTTTCTCAAAAAGTACGCTTTTCCGCATGTTGAAACTTTACGTGTGTGCTTATATTAATGTACCCTTTCTGTAAAAAAAATATCAACCCCCAACTCGACGGACGTCAATGGAAAGCTTAGCCCAAGTGACCACCTTGACACACACACACACACAATTTTTTCGACGTCGCATTCTTTGTAGGAGTGTTGTCCGGAGCACGAAGAAGACATTTGAGAACCTCGGCAGACTTTCGCAGAGTGATTAAACTTCAGGCATTTGTAGCACTGTAGTAATGGAGGGATGTATATGTGGACCGGGTATCTGAACATCTGTATGTAGGCGTGTTGTGGCAGCGCTGTCGCAGCGAAGTTCACTGCTATGGTCCCCAGCGGAGTGAGCTTTCCATCTACCTTTCGCATAAATCTCTTGATGGAGATTGGAGATAAGATGGACTTCTGCATCACAGGTAATGCTTTTGTATATGTCTTCATTGCTTAAGTCTTTAGGTACGTATCTTATGACTCCAGTAATTTCAATGAGGTGCGCAGGCACGAACGCTTTTAATTTGTGTTTTCCCAGAAAGTGTGTCATGGTAAGGAAGTTATTGGCCGGTGCTGGTTTTCTGAACGTTATGCCCACTTTATATGCGTTCACTCTGTGGACGCCAGCGATTCCTTTAACATTTTCCGTAAATAACTTTGTAAGTGCTATTGGATTTTTGTTACCAATTTTTTCGTTTTCTTGTGATTCAACGTAGATTACGCAGTCTACGCTGTGGTTTTCTGAGAATTGTCGCGTGTAATTTGTTTTTGTGAAAATTTTGTAGTCGACAGCATTTCCTTTGCGAGTATCGGGCAATTTCCTTTTCTTTGATTTTTGCTCGGCGGGGGTCGGGTTCGGGCCCCCGTCGGAATTTGGATCCATTGTATTTACACTATATATAGGTATGTACTAATTAACTATTTACACGGAAATTTACAAAATATATACAAAATAAAATGAAATGAAAATTCAGCAAAAATTAAAACACCCGCTTACATGAAAAAACTATATTTTCCAGCGCTGCCAACTGCTAGCTTTACCCAGTAGCTAGACATTTTCAAAATGTTGCTAGATTTCCAGTTTTTTTTACCCTAAAAATTTGCTAGAAGTTGCTAAAAGTTACATTAGATAAGTAGGTTACAATAAAATGTCAGTTTCTGATAATAATTTTTATTCATTAATTCCAACGAGAAGTTAAATTAAGTCATGTGTACGCAATTGAATAAAAAATAAAAAATAAATTAATCAATTAAAGAGAAAGATGTCGATGGCTGGGGTTCAGTACCTTTCATTGACTTCGAATATTTTTCAACGGGGGCACCGTTTTATTTTATGCAGTACGTCTTTAGGCAAAACAAAGTAATTATAGCAGCATTTACCACTTTTTCTGAGGGAGTCTCTAATGCAGAGGATTGAGTTCAGAGTTTTCAAACTCATTCTGTTTCTTTGCTTATTTTTAATTAAATTCATTTGAGAGAATAACCTTTCTACCTCTTATTAGAATGTGGCAGTGAAAGGCAAGAGTTAAAGCAAGAGTACTTATATCTTGATATATGTTGTCACCGGAAGAATTTCTAAATTTTTTTACTTCGACCCAAAACTGAACTATTTCTTCAGAATGCCACTTATTTATATATAGAATGTGCCACTGTTGCATTATCTAAATAAATCCCAAAATTTCAGCAACGTCGATGATAGTGTTTGACTTGATTGGTTTTATTGCCTCCTCTGGACTTAGCAACGCCATTAATTCTAGCTGCTTGTAGTTGTCTGGAAGCCTTTGTTGCAATTCCTTAAATAATTGCAGTAAGAAGGCGGAGCAGCATTGTCGTATTGCATTTAAAATTTCGCAGTCTAAATTATGATGAGCAGTTTCAAACAAGTAGCCAGGATAAGGCCTAGGGTTAATATCCCTGTCAGTTATTGGATCTAATAAGTTTCTGTTTACAGGTCTTGGCATTAAAATTCTCTGGCTCACTGATTCTATCAGTGTAGTGAGTGTATTGAGAAGTTTTAATGGATTAGAATTTTCACTTTCAAATGATTTAATTGCTGTTTGAACATCATTTAAAACGCTTCTCAGAAAAACAAAATATAAATAATTTCTTTTGTCTTCGAGCATGTTGTAAATAAGCTCAGCTAAATAACAATTGTCTTTCCATCTTGCTAAATTAAAATGTATTTCTAATTCTTCCCATTGTGTCACAATTCTTGTTATCGCTGGCTCTATTGAAAGCCAACGTATATCGCACACCTTTCGATTTTCAACGGACTATCGCCACAGTTTATAAGTTCTTATATTTTTGTGTATTCGTCTCGCCGCTTAGGAGACACAGAAAACCATTTATAAATTTCTCTAACCAAAAACTCCAAATTTCTTGGCAGAGTATTTTCGGAGGCATGGGTCACTGCTAACTGCAACGAGTGGCAGACACATCGTATTAGTATCAAATTTTCTATACCATATTCTCTTTTTAGGATTCCATGAACCTCGTTATTAATGCCCATCATAATAGATGCATTATCAGTTCCAATTCCAATCATTTGTTTGATATCTAAGTTGTGACTCTCTAAGCATGACACCAAGCCTTTAACGATTCCCGTATCATCTGCACTCTCAATAGAAACTAATTCCAGGAATGAGCTTACTATCCTTTCCTGTGCGGCACTATAATACCTAATTACAAGACCAAGGTATTTACTGACACTAACGCACAGAGCACTCATCCATTGTAATGCTGAACTTTTGGTTTCCAATATCATCTAAGAGCTCCTTGCGAAAGTGCGGCTTCAGCACATTTTTCATTATTTCTGTACAATTAGTGCGATGCAATTTAAGCTCCTATGTAGCTTTAGAGTCTTTGAAACACATTTTACATAGTTAACCTAAATGGTCAACACTTAATACTCGTATAGAACAGTGCTCGGCAATAAAGAAGGTCAATGTGCCTTCAGATTCACCGCAAGGTCTAAATAAATGGTCTTTTGGTACAACTTTGTTTCTTTATTGCCTGTAAAGACAAAATTAATATACTGTTACGAGCTTGAGGTTCGTGACAATTAAAAATTGCCGATAAAATTACCTAAATTAACACTTTAATTTACTTTACACAAATTAAAGTTAAAAACACTAATAATTAAACACACTTATTCACTTTATTCCGCTCCGAAGCTTCGCTTGTCTCGCCAAATCAACACTACTCCTCGCATCTTGCAGCCCCTATATATTTAAATTAGCAAAGAAATATCCAGAATGTTCAAGTAAACACGCGCAAGGTACCGAGCGTTCGAGTTTCGACTAGGCGCTGTCGGTTAAGTGATTTGTGATGTCATTTTCTCAATGCTCCCCTCGCTCTCGTTCCTGACACTAGATGGCGCTAGTGTATCGTCGACTTGAGCGCGTAACACTGCCCCCTCCTAAGACATGCTCGTCCCGAGCATTATCGGCCCCATAATAACGCGCCAAGCGATTCACATGGACGATCTTAGGAGTCCCCTCTTGCGCCTTTCTGTAACGGCTCCGCAATGTCAAGGGCTGTCCTATCCCGTGGTGCACCAACATTGTACAATTTCGGTGCTCCTCTACTACGTGTCCGAGGTCCCCGCACGGCCGCACAACTTGTACATGTACGACACCAATCCTCGACATCGTCGCGATAATGGACCCAGTAAAACTGTTCTCGGACCTTCAGTAGAGTTCGTTTAACTCCCAGATGGACTCTTGAACGACCATTATGGCACAACTGTAGAACATTCGGCACTTTAGCTTTAGGGACAACCATTTGCAAACGACAGCTGTCTCTTCGACCATTGTCCCATTTACGGCACAGGACTCCATCCTGAATCAGCAAGCTGTCCCATTGGGCCCAATAGCTTTTCGTGGTTGAACTCATCGCTGAGACGTCCCTCCACTTAGGCTTGGTAGCACGGGCCTTCATCCATCCCAGAATCGGCTTGATGTCCGGATCTTCCTGCTGTGCATGTCGTAGGCTGTCCTTCCACCCGTTGCTGAGGTGGTCTGTCCTGAGCATCCTCACGGATACCACTTCCTTACTCTCTTGCCTACTACAATGGTAGCAATCTTCAGGACAAGGTCTTCTTGTCAATGCATCTGCGTTGCCGTGAGATTTCCCGCTGCGGTGTCTGATAGTAAAGTCGTATTCCTGCTGCTGCTGGGCGGTGCTGTTAGCCGCACTTCCTTTCTGAGACCGTTCACCTTCCCTTCCTAGGGTGTGCTTAGGGCAGCTGGACCGAAGATGGCCCCTTTCCCCACAGGCATAGCACCTAGGGCTGTATCTTTTATTGTGGTCGCGAACCGTAACTGCTGTAACCTCCCTAGCGTGAGGTGAACGATGATCCTGTCGCCGCCAGGCAGTGCCGTTAGCTGTACTACCCTCTCGAGATCGATCAACTCTCCTTTCCACGGTTAGTTTAGGGCAGCTGGATCGAAGATGGCCCTTTTCCCCACAGCCATAGCACCTAGGGCTGTATCCTTTGCTGCGGTCACGGACTGTAGCTGCTGCAACCTCCCTGACGCGATGGGAACGATGATCCTGCCGCACGGCTTCCACTTCCAGTGCATGGGCCAAGGCGTCCTTAAGCGTCTCGTGGTGCCCGAGCCTCACAGCAGCTCTGACTTCCAGGTCGCGGATGCCGTCGATGAATGTCTGCACCAGGTTCCCTTCAATGAGCGCAGGTACAGACCGGTATGCTTTTCGCACCAGCTTCTCCACTTCTAGAGCCCACTGCTGCAGGTTTTCGTTGATGCGCTGCACACGATCTTTAAGCTGCGCACGAAAGACGTGTTCCAGGTGAGCGTCGCCATATCTCGCCTCCAATGCCTCAAGGAGTTGCTCATAAGTCACTTCCTCACCGAGAGCTTCCAGAACTGTTAAGGCCTGGTCACGCAGGCCTAGTGTGAGAGCATTCATGGCCTGATTTTTATTCCAGCCGTTCGCCTTCATAACAGCCTCGAACTGGATTTTGTAGGCTGACCAGGAAGAAGTCCCGTCGAACGGTGGTACTTTGAACCCACGCAGCGAAGGTGTAGTAGCTACTACGGGAGCTGTAGTTCCATCACCCAGTTTGAGGTCGTCCAGCGTTTTCTTCACGTCAGCCACCACGTAATCAACCCGATTGTTCACTTGGTCGATTTGGGTTTTAGCTTCCTTGATTTGGGTTTCAGCTTCCGATAGGCGGTTGTCGTGTTGAGCAACCTTATCCTTCACCTCCTTTATCTCTTTCCCAAAGGTAGCATGAAGGTCCTTAATGAGGAGCATCTGCTCTTCCGACCGACGGGCCTGTTCCTCCTGTCGGCGGGCCTGCTCCTCTTGTCCGCCCTGCAGCTGCTCTTTCAACTGACGGACCTGTTCCTCCTGTCGGCGAGCCTGTTCCTCCTGTCGGCGAGCCTGCTCCTGCAGCATCACCATCAGAGCACCTAAGTCAGGTGCTGCAGATGTAGGAGCTACCGACGGGCCTTCAGCCGGTGGCTGGCCCTCCGACGTCTGCGGCGTTGCACCACCAAATCTTCGTTGGTCCGTCTCCTGCTGGCGTTGACTTCGGGTACGGACACCCTCGGTTTCCTCCTTAGGTAAAATCGGCATGATTTTATCCCACTTCTGACACCAATTGTTACGAGCTTGAGGTTCGTGACAATTAAAAATTGCCGATAAAATTACCTAAATTAACACTTTAATTTACTTTACACAAATTAAAGTTAAAAACACTAATAATTAAACACACTTATTCACTTTATTCCGCTCCGAAGCTTCGCTTGTCTCGCCAAATCAACACTACTCCTCGCATCTTGCAGCCCCTATATATTTAAATTAGCAAAGAAATATCCGGAATGTTCAAGTAAACACGCGCAAGGTACCGAGCGTTCGAGTTTCGACTAGGCGCTGTCGGTTAAGTGATTTGTGATGTCATTTTCTCAATGCTCCCCTCGCTCTCGTTCCTGACACTAGATGGCGCTAGTGTATCGTCGACTTGAGCGCGTAACAATACATAAGGACCCTAGACGCAAAATATTATTTGACCCTAAAAAATTGGTAAAATGAAAATATCAAACTCATTTTTCCCATCGATAGAGTCTGATATCAACAAAACGAATTTTAAATTCATTCACGTACCTGTTTTGAACTCTACTTTCTGTTTATGCTTTTTGGTCTCAGCATGCTTCTTTATATCAAATAGTTTAGCAGAAGTTTAAGAATCTCTGTAGGACAATATGTACAAAATGCTTTGCTTGAGTCTCCACTTGCCGATTTTAGCCAACCTTTAAATTCGTCCATATTTTCCCACTCCGGTCTGTATTTCTGTGCGTAGGTTATCCATTGTCAAATTAAATTTAATTAGTATTATGTGGATAAAACATAACAACACAAGGTAAAATACGAATAGCGCGTACTATGTAAGTTTACTAAGTATTCTGTCGCAGAGGAAACGGGGAATTCCCGGCCAGCGTCGACCTGTACTTACCGTAGCATCTATGACTATAGATTTTTTTTCTTTCGACTCGGCACACTACTCGACGAATTTCGATAGACTCACGTCTCATGATGAAATGAAAAGTTGCTAGAAAAAGTAGCTAACAAGTTTAGCTACAAATTTTATTAAATTGTAGCTGTCTGTCACCAAATAATAGCTAGATCTAGCTATAAAGTTGCTAAGTTGGCATCACTGATATTTTCTGCTTTTTAATTTGGTACTTAAGTTGGTTTTTAAGTTGGCAACTCTGTCTTTAAGTCAATGACACATGTGACATGTGTCCGTTCAGTTCAGTAATTTCATTCTTTTGTGTATCTGACTAGGCTGTATGGGCTCAGATCCCTTTGCCTTTTTGCTTCGTTAGGAACGAGAAAATTAACCAAAAAAAATTATTCAATTGTCATTGTCCGTCCCGTAGATAGAGAAACCTATAGACTAATGATCGGCGTGGCCTCGAGTGAGAAAGAACTATAACAAATTTTTAGGTTATAGAATAATCTTTATGACTTTTAAACACATTTAGATAAAAATTTTCATTGTTCTAAGAATTGAACTTAACAAGATTCACCAATTTTAAGCTCACAAAACACTTTTTCTCACTTAAACCAACTTGTAAACTCCTTATATCACTACGCTGTCAAAGTTGTTTAACAAACTGCAGAGTTTGCTAAACAAAAAAACCGGCACGGAGAAAGGGACAAACAATCACACCGCTCTATCTCATTTCTATGCAAGACGTATGCATAAATCTATCTTTTTCGTGTGCGAATGCGGAAGAAGGCGTCAATTTGTCTATAGGTTTCTGTCTACGGTCCGTCCGTTATCCGTAACGAACCTCAATGCGCGCGTTTTTCTGCATTTGAGTTGATTGTATTATACAATTTTACTAATTCATTCAATAATTAATTTGAGCATTCCAGTCATGTCTAGTGTTGTATGGAACTTTTTTAAAAAAGTAGACAAACAAAATGTTTCATGTAATCTGTGTGGAAAAAGATATAAAACCAGTGGCGATACGACGAATTTAGCTACACATCTAAAAAATAAGCATCACCATGCGTTTCTCCAACTTAAAAATAAAAACGCAAGGTCGTCAAGTGAAGTGGATGATATTACACCAAGTTCTTCAGAACCTAAAGAATGACAACAAGAACCAGTTCGCCCGTTCCGTCTACTAGTTCATCTATTACTAATGAACCTGCTAAGACAGAAAATAACTTCATGGAATTGTCTGAATCTGCAATTTACGATGATACTGGTGTAAGTATTTTATTTGTGCAAGGCCAAACGTAGCTTTAAACTTTAGAGCCTGTAGAATGTAAATATCATTCTTTAATCTTTTATATTATGTGGAAAGAATTAATGCGGAAAGACTGACAAAGCAAATATATGTTGCAGAAGTGAATGGGAGAGTCGGAAAGGGACGTCCTAGGCGGAAGTTTGTCGACCAAATTGGTGATATACTAAAAATGAGCCAAATTAAGAATACCCTTAACCGACGAGCATGTATTCGTAGGTATATGGATGTGGAAGAGGCGAGAAAGGTATGTCAGGATCGTGCTAAATGGAAGTCTGTAGTCTCTGCCTACCCCTCTGGGTGACAGGCGTGAGTGTTTATGTTTTATGTTTTAATGTAATCTTTTATAACTAATAACTAGTCAACTAATGATGTGTGATTACTAAAAGTATCGATATCGATAAATTTATATTTTAGTGTTTTTACTTAAACTTATGTCGTTATGTATTTATGTCGACAATAGTAATGAAATATGTGCAAAATGTTCAATAAAATTTTTCAGTCTGAATCCTCCATAGATGGTGGTCGTCAGAGTAAAGACGTGTGGAAACAAACTACACTCATAGATATGTTTAAAAGAAGTTCAAGCTATGAAGGTATTTTTTATTGATATCAGATTATAGCATTTTTTATATTTTAGTTCTACGAGTAGGTTCTCATATTATTATATTTTTCAATTTAGCAGGGGGTCAAAAAACTAGCCAAATAAATCAAGCTTTGATCTACATGATCTGCAAAGACAACATGCCTCTATCTTGTGTAGAAAAACCTGGATTGAAAAGATTTATGAGTGTCGTTTGTCCACGCTATAAGGTTCCATCTCGAACTACTGTAAGCAAAGTATACCTAATATTAAATTATTATCTTATCTTTTTTATTTTCAAATGTTATTTTTTTCATTCATTTCTTATTACAGATAATTGGCTTCATGGAACAACGATATGCCACTACCAAAGCCATTTTAAAACAAAAATTAAGTGAGAAAAATAATATTGCTTTAACAAGTGACATATTAACTCTTACCAACTCGACACGAAGTTTCATCGTAGTGACAGCGCATTTCCTTAACACTGCAGACAACTGCACTCCTGAGCATGAGATGGTGACACTGACAGCACGGAGAATGTATCAGGTAAGAAAAGTATAAAATAAATGCATCAAATTATAAAAAATAAAATAAATAGTGAGTTATAATAAATTTAATGAAGTTGACTAATATTGGTCTTCTTTCCTGCAGGCACACACAGCTGATTATATAAAAGAATGCTTTGAAAATATTACCGAAGAGTTCACAATACAAAAACAAAGAAAGAGGGAGAAGTGTTAACACTTATACAATCAGTAAGCACAAGGTGGAATTCTTGTCTTGACATGTTGGAAAGATTTAATACATTATCAGCTATTGTGGCTAAGATTTTGGCAACCAGGCGGAATGCACCTGATATGATAACTTCTTCATAGTTAAGTGTCATACGAGATCTTATAATGTTGCTTACCCCATTTAAGCAAGCTACTGAAGAAATAAGCGGCGATCAGTACGTGACTTCTAGTAGCGATTCCTATTGCAAACTTACTTCAGAAAGGACTTGAACAAATGAAACTTTCCACCGAATTTGGTGTTGCTGTTCAGAAGAGTTTGCTAAACTTAGTTATTGCCAAACTAGAACCACTAGAGCGACATTTACATCTTGCTAAAGCAACAATTTTAGACCCTCGCTTTAAGCGTATTCATTTTAATTCCGCTCTGGCTGTTTCCACTGCAATAAGCGCATTGTCAAAAGAAATACGTTTAGAACATAGACGTAGAGGACAATTATCGCCTGAACTCGGATGCAGATCTACTACCACAATACCAAATTCAGAAAATTCTTCGACGTCGTTGTGGTCCGCACATGAAAAAAAATTTGTTAGATATTGCTGCAGCTTCAACAAACTCCAGTTCACTTTCAACCAGTGATGGAATGCCTAGCGAACTAAAGCAATACCTAGATCAGCCTATAATACCCAGAAAGGAGAATCCAACAAAATTTTGGTTTGATTGTCGCCATTTTACCCCAGTTCTTTCCGATATAGCTGTAAAGTATTTGAAATCGCCTGCGTCGTCGGTTTCCTCAGAAAGAGTGGCATCTGCTGTAAATCTCGCAGTACCCAATAACAGAAGTCGGCTTACAGCCGAGCACATAAATCAAAGAGTTTTTCTAATGTCTGTATCAGATAGATATTGGTTTAGTTAATAAATAATTAATATTTTTTATCGTTGTTCTTGATTTATTAAAAATGTTTTCTATTGATTAGTATTGTTACGAGCTTGAGGTTCGTGACAATAACAATTGCCGATAGAATTACCTAAATTAACACTTTAATTTTCTTTACACAAATTAAAACTTAAAACACTAAAAATTAATCACACTGATTCACTTTATTTCGCTCCGAAGCTTCGCTTGTCTCGCCCAATTCAATACTTCCCCGATCGCATCTTGCAGGGCCTATAAATATAAATTAGCACCGAAATATCCAGAATATTCAAGTAAACACGCGCAAGGTACCGAGAGTTCAAGTTTCAACTTCAAGAAGTTTAGTTCTTCGGTTCGAGACTAGATGGCGCTAGTGCCGTCGACTTGGGCGCGTAACACTGCCCCCTCCTAAGACATGCTCGTCCCGAGCATTATCGGCCCCATAATAACGCGCCAGGCGATCCACATGGACGATCTTAGGAGTCCCTCTTGCGCTTTTCTGTATCCGGTAGGTTACATCGTTGATCCTGGTCACTATCCGGTACGGGCCGTCCCATTTAGCTTGAAGCTTAGGAGATTTCCCTTTGCTGCGGACTGGATTCCATTTTTTGTTTAGATTTGCATTTGATTAGATTTGCAACCACACAAGTGAACCTTCATCGAACCCTTTGTTGTTCATTTTGCGGTCGTACCGGGTTTTCATCTTTTCAGACATTTGCTGGCCCGATTGTCTGACGTGCTCATAAACGTCATTCATTTTGTTCCGCAAGTCATTTACATAATCGGTTATACTGCATGGAGCATCAGGTGGTATCCCGGTGATCAGGTCTGCAGGCAGCCGTAATTCTCTTCCAAAGTTTGCGAAAGCTGGTTTCACTGCTGTACTTTCGTGAACAGCGCTTCGATATGACAACAAAAACGGTTGTATGTGCTTGTCCCTGTCTCGTTGCCGATTGTCTACAACTTTTGCTAGGTACCTCTCCAATGTCTGATTAAATCGTTCTACCATTCCATCAGATTGCGGGTGATAAGAAGTCGTTCTTGTTTTATGAGTACCCATAACTCGGCAAGTTTCCTGGAATATTTGAGACTCAAAATTCCTTCCTTGATCGCTGAGAATCTCTAAAGGTACTCCAAAACGACAGAAGACTTCATGAACTAGTATATCTGCAACTTTTGAAGCTTCTTGATTTGGAATGGCGAAGACTTCTGGCCACTTAGTGAAGTAATCCATCACAACCATGAAATACTTGTAACCGCTTTCACTCTCCGAAAACGGCCCCGCCACGTCAATGGCTATTCTCTCCCATGGTGCACCAACATTGTACAACTTCAATGCACCTCTACTACGAGTCTGAGGTCCCTTTACAGCCGCACAACTTGTACATTTGCGACACCAGTCCTCGACATCGTTTCGACAGTGGACCCAGTAAAACCGTTCTCGGATCTTCAGTAGAGTTCGTTTAACTCCCAGATGGCCTCCTGAATAATTATTATGGTACAGCTGTAGAACATCCGGTACTTTAGCTTTAGGGACAACCATTTGTAAATGACAGCTGTCTTCCCGAACATTTTCCCATTTACGGCACAGAACTCCATCCTGAAGCAGCAAGCTGTCCCACTGGGCCCAATAGCTTTAAGTGGTCGAACTCATCGCTGAGACGTCGCTCCACTTGGGCTTGGGAGCACTGGCCTTCATCCATTCCAGGATCGGCTTGATGTCCGGATCTTCCTGCTGTGCACGTTGTAAGCTGTCCTTCCACTCGTTGCTGAGGTGGTCTGCCCTGAGCATTATCACGGATACCACTTCCTTACTCTCCTGCCTAGTACAATGTTTCCGATCTTCAGGACAAGGTTTTGTTAACAATGCATCTGCGTTGCCATGAGATTTCCCGCTGCGATGTCTGATAGTAAAGTCGTATCCCGGCTGCTGCTGGGCGGTGATGTTAGCCGCACTTCCCTTCTGAGATCGTTCACCTTCCCTTTCTAGGGTTCGCTTAGGGCAGCTGGATCGAAGATGGTCCCTTTCCCCACAGCCATAGCACCTAGGGCTGTATCCTTTATTGTGGTCGCGAACTGCTGCAACCTCCCTAGCGTGAGGGGAATGATGTTGCTGCCACCGCCAGGCGGTGCCGTTAGCTGCACTACCCTCTCGAGATCGATCAACTTCCCTTTCTACAGTTCGCTTAGGGCAGCTGGATCGTAGATGGCCCTTTTCCCCACAGCTATAGCACCTAGGGCTGAATCCTTTGTTGCGGTCGCGAACTGTAGCTGCTGCGATTTCCCTAACGCGATGGGAACGATGATCCTGCCGCACGGCTTCCACATCCAGTGCATGGGCCAAGGCGTCCTTAAGCGTCTCGTGGTGCCCGATACTCACAGCAGCTCTGACTTTCAGGTCGCGGATGCCGTCGATGAATGTCTGCACCAGGTTCCCTTCAATGAGCGCAAGTACAGACCGGTATGCTTTTCGCACCAGCTTCTCCACCTCAAGAGCTCACTGCTGCAGGTTTTCGTTGATGCGCTGCACGCGATCTTTAAGCTGCGCACGAAAGACGTGTTCCAGGTGAGCGTCGCCATATCTCGCCTCCAATGCCTCAAGGAGTTGCTCATAAGTCACTTCCTCACCGAGAGCTTCCAGAACTGTTAAGGCCTGGTCGCGCAGGCCTAGTGTGAGAGCAGTCATGGCCTGACTTTTATTCCAGCCGTTCGCCTTCATAACAGCCTCGAACTGGATTTTGTAGAATGACCAGGAATAGGTACCGTCGAACGGTGGCACCTTGAACCCACGTAGCGAAGGTGTTGTAGCTACTACGGGAGCCGTAGCTCCATCTCCAAGTTTGAGTTCGTCCAGTGATTTCTTCATGTCAGCCATTACGTTGTCAACCCGATTGTTTACTTGGTCGATTCGGGTTTCAGCTTCCGACAATCGGTTGTCATGTTGAGGAGCATCTGCTCTTCCAACCGACGGGCCTGTTCCTCTTGTCGGCGGGCCTGTTCATCCTGTTCGCCCCGCAGCTGCTCTTCCAGCCGACGGACCTGTTCCTCCTGTCGGCGGGCCTGTTCATCCTGTCCGCCCCGCAGCTGTTCTTCCAACCGACGGACCTGTTCCTCCTGTCGGCGGGCCTGTTCATCTTGTCCGCCCCGCAGCTGTTCTTCCAACCGACGGACCTGCTCCTCCTGTCGGCGGGCCTGTTCCTGCAACATCACCATCAGAGCACCTAAGTCGGGTGCTGCAGATGTAGGAGCTACTGACGGGCCTGCAGCCGGTGGCTGGCCCTCCGACGTCTGCGGCGTTGCACCACCAAATCTTCTTTGGTCCGTCTCCTGCTGGCGTTGACTTCGGGTACGGACACCCTCCATTTCCTCCTTAGGTAAAATCGGCATGATTTTATCCCACTTCTAACACCAATTGTTGCGCCATTACGAGCTTGAGGTTCGTGACAATAAAAATTGCCGATAGAATTACCTAAATTAACACTTTAATTTTCTTTACACAAATTAAAACTTGAAACACTAAAAATTAATCACACTGATTCACTTTATTTCGCTCCGAAGCTTTGCTTGTCTCGCCCAATTCAATACTTCCCCGATCGCATCTTGCAGCGCCTATAAATATAAATTAGCAGCGAAATATCCAGAATATTCAAGTGAACACGCGCAAGGTACCAAGAGTTCGAGTTTCAACTTCAAGAAGTTTAGTTCTTCGGTTCGAGACTAGATGGCGTTAGTGCCGTCGACTTGGGCGCGTAACAGTATTTATCTAGTAATGTACCTAAGATGACTAAAGTAGGTTAGACCTTTTTTTCATATCGTACCGATATGTCGATATTGATTTTTTCAAAAATATCGATATCGATATGTATCGACACTTTATTGCATTTCCGGCATCCTTACTGTAATGGCTTCGCATACTCGCATATCATATTCAAACGCGTCGCGTCGGCGCTTGCCGCGTCACGTGGGTGGGTGTGCAGAAACGTCAATTCAAGTCAATTGCTGTCAAAATCAATTTTTGAGGGCCATAGACATAAGGCTAGGAATAATTGTATGGAGATTACCACCCGTGGTCTTATGTTATTATATTATAGTT